ATGTTGAATGTCAGATCAAATCAAAATGTCCAGATTTATTCATGGCCACTGATCTGAAACCAGGTTGAATGAAAACTTGGTGAATCTTCTGAGCAATACAGCTTGATCTCAGGCTTCATAGATTACATCCAAACAACCCAGTAATTATGGGTTGTAAATTATATATTTGCAAGCCTGATAACAGAAGAGACTACATCAAAATAGTCAAATATCTTTATCATCTTTTTTTGCCAATTCCAGTGGAGTTTCTAGTTATTTATGCATTGTCATTTTTTTATAGATGCCTATATAATATAACATACAGGTGACAGTAATGATATTTAGCCCCCCACTTTGCAGTATAAAATAGGATAATATCTCTAAAAAGAAGCTTGAGGCTATTTAGATTTTCATTATTTAAAAATTAGCAGAAAAAGATGATAAAGATACTTATCTATTTTAATGTAGTCTCTCCTGTTACCAGGCTTGCAATTTTTTCCCCCTTGCACCTGGACTTTCTTGTTATTTATGCATTGTCATTTTTTAAAAATTAGATGCCTATATAATATAATGTACAGATGCCCTTAAATATCAGGGTCTATTCAGAGTCCACTGTGATATGAATAATCCCTTGAGATTTATCAATGTTATTCAAATATCTTTGTTATATGATCCTGTAAAAACAGGAGTTCACAATACACATAGATTTTTTGGGACTTGGGGAGGCCACAATGGGATAGCAAACTCAGTGGGACAGTATCATGCTTTTCAATGAAGCTGTAATCCAATTTCCTTGTGTTTCCTACCATGAAATATAGGGAATTGTTGCTCCCATTTGTGTTTAGATAAGATCTGCAAGATGTCTTCAATATCATATAGAGATGGCATTTAATCGAAAACAATTTTAAGATATTGCTGGTCTCATCAAAACCAAGGGTCTCAAGATAAACTCCCCCTGTGTTGCATTTGCACTGTAATGGATGGAGCTTGCATTACAACGTCACAATAGTTGTTTTCTGACTGTGATGGAACTTCCAGTTTCTGTGGATGGCCTGCCTGCCTGCCTGCCTG